AACCGCCAGCCTTCTGGTTAGCAGTCAAGTGCTTTTAGCCACTATGCTACCAGAGCTCCCGGCCCAGGGCTTAGAGGCTGCTTTTTGATTGAGTGTGGCTCTATATCAAGGCTGAGGCCTGAGGTAGGTGGGTCAGGGCTTAGAGGCTGCTTTTCACTTGGGGGCAGCTCTATTTTAAGGCCGGGGCCCAGGGTAGGAGGGCATGGGGTTTGGGGGCTGTTTTTTGCTTGGGGGTGGCTCTTTACTAAGGCTGGGGCCTGAGGTAGGTAGGCCGGGGCTAGGGAGCTGTTTTTGGCTTGTGGGCGGCTCTATTTTATGGCCGTTGCCTGAAGTAGGCAGGTGCAGAGGGTTAGGAACAATTAAGGGAGATGAACTTGTCTCTCAGTTTGTCATCCTGTGGTGGCTTACGTGTTGCTGTGAGGCTGGAGGCTATGCCACCGTGTTGCAAAATGCCAGCAGGGTTACCCATACTGGACAGGTTTCAGTGGAGCTTCCAGCCCAAGACAGACTTGGTAGAAGGAATGGGCCATCCACCTCTCAAAGAATTGGCCATTGAAAACCTTATGAACAGCAGTGAAACACTGTCTGGTATATTATTGGAAAACTTTATGAACTGCTCTGAAACACTGTTTGATATAGTGCCGGAAGATGAGACCATCAGGTTGGAAGGCGTTCAAAAATTGCCTGGGCTAGAGCTGACTCCTCAGAGTAGAGAAAACCTTAATGTTATAGATAGAGTAAAGCTTTCAGGACTTCCATTGGCTGCTGTGGCATGACTCAAAATGAGTAGAAACAGATGCAAACATCTATTAATAATTGAAACATGGAATGTATGAAGTATGAATCTAGGAAAATTGGAAGTTGTCAAAAATGAAATGGAATACATAAAGATCAATATCCTAGGCATTAGTGAGCTGAAATGGATTGTTTTGGCCATTTTGAATCAGACAATCATATGACTTACTATGCCAGGAATGACAAATTGAAAAGGAATGATGTGGCATTCATCATCACAAAGACTGTTTCAAGATCTGTCCTGAGGTACAACACAGTCAGTGATAGGATGATATCCATATGCCTACAAGGAAGATCAGTTAATACTACTATTATTCAAATTTACGCACCAACCACTGAAGACAAAGA